AAATATTTTTAACTTTCTCATTTGGAAGGCTTAGAAATTTATAAGATGTAAAATGCTAGACAAAGTCAGAATTATACCAGCATTAAGTTGAAATGGTGATAGGCAAAGTATAATTCTGATTGAGGATAAGAAGCTGAATGCTATCAAATATAGAAATTATGGGAACTGTCCTGCTATCTAGTAAATAAGCCACTGAAGAAGGTGGCATACTGTCTAAACGCTTTAGAAGACAAATCAAGCATCCTCATGCATTTGCACTGATCTCTTTCTTGCATGCAAGGGAAATGGCAAGGAATATATGCCATTATAATATAATAAGAAAAAGATCTTGAGAGCTAGCAGGCAATGAATTATAAGAATTTTTCATATTCTGTATGACTGAGAAGCAGTGATTTGCACATAAATATTTTGTATACGAGAGGCCACTTTACCTTGCCTACTGTGAGTGTTTTTTTTTTAAAAAAAATGATATATGAATAGGCAACCCATGATAATAGTGTCATATCAAGGGTCAGGAAGATTTTTTTTAATGAAACCTCCAGTATTACTTGTTCTTTTTATTCAGAGGCTCAAATGTGTAGAAATAAATAAAAGTCTATAATTTTTATTATTTTATGATCAAAAACTCCCTTCCTTCACATATTCACAAATCTGTACGTATCTTCTTAACTGAAAGTCTGGTTAGCTGGGCTAGATGTGAATTCTAAAAAGGCATGATGCCTACTCTGCACAGTATTTCATTCTATGTGATGGTTTCAAAGGGCTACATTTTCCATATGTTTTTATATCTTTCCCTTTCCATTTTATACCATTTTCCATTTACTTTCATACAATTTCTATACTGCGAGCCAGTTTGGTGTAGTGGTTAAGGCATTAGGCTAGAAACCAGGAAACCATGAGTTCTAATTCCACCTTGGGCACGAAGACAGCTAAGTGACCTTGGGCCAGTCATACTCTCTCAGCCCTAGGAATGAAGCAGTGACAAACCAATTGCAAGGGACTTGTCCAGGCAGTTACCAGGAATCATCTCTGACTTGAAGGCATAAGCTCATATATGAGAACTGTCTGTTGTTTTGGAACAAGTTTGAATGGTCACTGAACAGGTGATCATTAGATATAAAGATTGGCTATTTTCTGGTTGAACTGCTGCAATGTGCTTTACTTGCTCTGCTTTTGAAGTTACAACTAGTCCAGAATGTGGTGGCATGCACAGTGAAGTTACAACTAGTCCAGAATGTGGTGGCATGCACAGTGTTGGGTACCCTTAGGTCTGCTCCAGTGGTGGGATTCAAATATGCGAACAACCGGTTCTCTGTGTGAATGCTGCTTCCGGAAGTCCATTCTGGGCCTGGGCAACAAAAAAATTAGCTACCGATTCTGCCGAAGTGGTGCGAACTGTCTGAATCCCACCACTGGTCTGCTCATGTTACACCTCTGTAACATGAGAAGTTGCACTGGCTTCCAGTTTTTTTCTGATTGCAATTCAAGATGCTGATTATTGTCTTTCAAGCCCTACATGGCATAAGGCTAGGTTACCTCTGATATCTGCTGGTTCCACCAGGTTGGGTGGAGTAGGCATGCTCCAGGTCCCTTCCCTTAAAGGTTGTCATTTGGTGAGATTTAGGAAACATGCCTTTTCTGTAGCAGCTTCTGTTCAGGGCAACACCCTTCCCCCTGATGATGTGGCAGACTCCCACCTTTTTAGTCTTCTGGAAGGCCATCCAGAGTTGGCTTTTTCCCTAGGTGCTGGGATAGGGTGAAATTAAAATCGAAGATAGTGCTTCTGGCTGCATTGAAAGAGAGTGCCAGGTTTTTTATTTTGTTTTTATTGCTTTTTGTTTGTTTATTCTGCTTTTATATTGGAAATGTGGTTTAGAAATGTAATAAATAAATAAATAAATAAATAAATAAATAAATAAATAAATAAATAAATAAATAAAGAAAGAAAGAAAGAAAGAAAGAAAGAAAGAAAGAAAGAAAGAAAGAAAGTAAACAGTCCAGAGTGATGTTATTTAAGATGGACAGAATACAAATATTTTAAATAATTAATTCTTAAAAATAATTATACAGGTAGTAGATTGCCCTGCATGCATTGAACAGGAATATTTGCAGCAAGGAAATTTACAGATAATAAATCTTTCTGCTGTAAATTTCCATGTTGAATATGAGGAAACCAAGATAGGGATGACCCATGTAACTGGTGCAGCTTCTCTTAGTCATTCATTACATGAAGTAATTACCCTTTATGTAATTAATACCTGGTCTCAGTATGATTTTAGATTTCTTTCTTCCTAGAAGGGAGATGTGTATCGATAAAGAAGGTATATTACATGAGTGCTTGGGCTAGAC